CAAAACATTCTTCTCCTGTTTGAATCCCAGCTCTGTCAATAAGCCCTGAAGCCATATCATCTCTTTACTGGCTTCAGTCACTGCAACATACTCAGCTTCTGTAGTGGATAAGGTAACGATCTTCTGTACCTGTGACATCCAACTAACAGCTGTAGTTTCGACGGTGAATACATAGCCGGTGGTTCTTCTTCGGTGATCAACTTCGCCGCCGAAGTCTGCATCTACGTACCCTTGCACTTCCACCTCTCCCTTACCAAAGTGCAAACACTTCTGTGTGGTGCCTCGTAGATATCTCAGAATCCACTTGACCGCTTCCCAATGAGCTTTTCCTGGATTCGACATAAACCGGCTGACCACTCCCACTGCATGGCCAATATCTGGTCTCGTACAGACCATTGCGTACATCAAACTTCCGATAGCTGAGGCGTAAGGAACCTGAGCCATACTCTCTTTTTCTTCTTCTGACTGAGGAGACTGATCCTTCGATAGACAAAAATGTCTGGCCAAGGGTGTGCTCACAGGCTTGGTGTCGCCCATGTTGAATCTCTACAAAACACGGTTGATGTACTCTGTCTGAGATAACTGCAAGAGACCTCTCTTCTTATCTCTCGTGATTTGCATTCCAAGGATCTTCTTCGCTGGACCCAAGTCCTTCATGTCAAACTCCTTTGATAGCTGCTGCTTCAAACTCTTGATATCCTCCATATCTGCTCCTGCAACCAACATATCATCAACATACAGCAGTAGGATGATATAGCTGGACTGATATCTTTTGAAGTAGCAACAGTGGTCGGTGTTGCACTTCTGGAAACCTTCCTTGTGCATGAAGCCGTCAAACTTCTTGTACCACTGCCTTGGGGCTTGTTTCAGGCCATACAAGCTCTTTTTGAGTCTGCACACCAGGTTCTTCTTCTTTTCTTTTGAGAAACCTTCTAGCTGGTGCATGTATATCTCCTCTTCCAGATCTCCATGAAGAAACACCGTATTCACGTCTAACTGCTCGAGATGAAGATCTTCAATTGCTACAATACTCATCACGGTCCTGATAGTATTTAGCTTCACCACGGGAGCGAAAATATCGGTGTAGTCAATTCCTTCCTTCTGCTGGAAACCTTTGACAACTAGCCGGGCTTTATATCTTCTGGAACCATCCTGCTTCTCTTTCACCCGGTACACCCATTTGTTGTGGAGTGCCTTCTTACCCGTGGGCAACTCAGCTAGTTCCCACGTCTGGTTTGATATGAGAGACTTCATCTCATCTTTCATGGCAAGCTCCCACTTGCTCGCATCTCCACCCTGACAAGCTTCTTCAAAGCTTTCAGGCTCCCCTCCATCTGTCAGCAACAGATAGTTCATGTATCTCCTGTTGGGTACAGGAGGACGAGAAGATCTTCTTAATATCGGAGCTGGTGCGTCGGGCTCCTGCACACCATCTTGTCCAACATGCTCTTCTTGCTGAGTACCCTCTGCATTGGGTTCTTCTGAGAGGTTACTCGGGACATTATCTGCATCTACAAATATTGACTCGCTCTCTGAGTCATCTGTCTTGTGCATGTCCTTGTACATCACATTTTCGTTGAATATCACATCTCTGCTCCTGATCACCTTCTTGTTTTTGTTGTCCCAAATGCGGTAGCCAAACTCATCTTCACCATAGTCGATGAAAGTGCATTTCTTTGACTTGCGATCAAGCTTATTCCTGCCTTGATCACTAATATGCACGTAAGCTACACAACAAAAAACTTTAAGATGTGAGAGTTTTACCTCCTTTCCGCACCATACCTCCTCTGGTATTCTGTGCTCCAATGGAACCGATGGACCTCGGTTGATCAAGTAAGCTACTGTGTTGACCGCTTCTGCCCAGAACTGCTTCGGTAGGCCTGACTGTACTCGAATGCTTCTGGCTCTCTCTGTCAACGTTCGGTTCATCCGCTCAGCTACACCATTTTGCTGAGCCGTGCCGGGCACGGTTCTTTCCATTCTGATCCCGTGCTCATAGCAGAACTTCTTGAATCCGGTGTCTTCGTATTCACCGCCATTATCGGTCCTGATCTTCTTTATTCTCAGACCGGTCTCATTCTCGACCATAGCTTTCTATCTCCTGAAAGCTTCAAATACTTCTGACTTATGCTTCAGAAAATAGACCCACACTTTCCGAGAGTGATCATCGATAAAAATCACGAAGTAGTGTTTTCCACCAATGGACGCGGTGGTTGTTGGTTCCCACACATCTGAGTGAACGAGCTCTAACTTCTCTTTCCTGCGGGTTCTGCCACTTGTCTGAAAGCTGACTCTCTTCTGCTTTCCAAGTATACATTCTTCAGACATATCCATCTCCACTGACTGCAGTCCTGGGAGTTTTTCTTTTGTGTGCATGATTTTCATCCCCTTTTCACTCATATGACCGAGTCTCTGGTGCCACAGCTTTGAAGTCTCATTGCCTGCTGCAACTGAGATCAAACAACGTGCACCTGCTGCCATATACAGGGTACCAGTCTTATTTCCTCAGGAAATTGTCATTGCGCCCTTTGAGATCTTCCAATCATCTCCATGGAAGGTCGTGGTGTATCCTTCGCCAGCCAACTGGCCTACGGATATTAAATTCTTTCCCAGGTCAGGAATATGCCTGACATCCTTCAGCTCCCATACAGACCCGTTCAACTTAATTTTCACCACGCCTTTGCCCACAATAGCACATGGTTGATCATCACCAAGATATACGTATCCAAGATTTTCGGGGGTATACTTCTCGAAGAATTCTTTCTGAGAGGTAGCATGGAACGACGCTCCTGAATCTAACACCCAAGATTCCTTCTTGCTCTCCAAAGAGCATATCAATGTGTCGTCTCCTCCTGAAGTGGAGGTGACATTCACCTCTGCCTTCGCCTCCTTCTCCTTCTGTGCACTCTTGCACTGATTCTTATAATGCCAGGTCTTTTCACAATTCCAACACTCGATAGCCTTCGAGCTATTGCTTGGATTCCTTGATTTGGACCTCCTGTCCTTTGATCTACCTCTGAAGTTTGATTTTCCTCATCCGTTTCCTCTGGTTGAATTTCTACCTCTTGACTCTGTATGCAATACTGAAGAGGTTGTAGCTTCACCCGTCTCTCTCCGTCGGATCTCCTCACTGAGAACCAAATCACGAACGTCGTCAAACTTCAACTTGTTGTTTCCCGACGAGCTACTCACTGCTGTGACTGTAGCGTTCCAACTCTCTGGTAGGGAAGACAAAAGTATCAACACCCAAACTTCCTCATCAAACTCAATCTCAACCGAACTCAATTGGGTTGTAACCGTATTAAGTTCATTGAGGTGTTGTGCTACTGACACGCCTTCCGCCATTTTCAGATTGAATAACCGCCGCATCAAATGAACTTTGTTCACGGCTGATGGCTTCTCATACATGTTTGAGAGTGCTGCTATAAGACCCGCCGTGGTCTTCTCCTTCGCTATGTTGAACGCAACATTGCGAGTCAACGTCAATCTGATAACTCCAAGGGCTTGTCTATCTAGAAGGTTCCACTCATCTGCCTTCATAGAATCTGGCTTCTTCCCCGATAGTGGTTGATACAGATTTTTTGATACAGATAATCCTCTATCTGCATTTTCTAGAATCCGAAATCTGTTCCATCAAAATTTTCAAGTCTCAGCTTTCCTTCATCTGCGGCCATGGCTCCCACTTGAATCTGACTTCCTCTAGATCGTTTCACGCTCTGATACCAGTTGTTGGGAATTTAACGCCGAAATCCCTAATGCAACAGAAACGCAGAATAGAAAAAAGTACACCAAGATTTACGAGGTTCGGCAACTGCCTACGTCCTCGGGAGCCACACAGTCAATTTTCTATTAATCAAACAAGAAATTACAAATCAAGAGCAAATCCCAAAACTGAGATTTCTCAATGATGAACACTGTAGCTACAGTGTTAATAATTAAAGGGAATAAACCCTTTCAATTCTCTCTCTCTCTAAAGTCCTTTCTTAATCTCCCCTCAATGCACGGTTGAGAGCTGGAGATGAAGAACCAAAATCGCTGCTGTGATTTCAAGGTTTGGAGAAGAGGAACGCTGCTGCGTTATTTTTGGTGCCGCCGCCAGAGAGAAATCAGAGGAGGAGAAGCAACAACAAAACCCTAGGGCGACGAGGGGTTTATATAAGCAAACATGACAGGCTGGCGACAGCCTGTCGCCAGCCACGCGAAGACGCGGACGTCGGAGCGCCAAAACGCGGACGTCAGAGCTTGGAAGCGAGGGTCGGTGTCCCAAACGCGAGGGTCGGTGTCTGAAACGCGAGGGTCGAATTTCCCAAACGCAAGGGTCGGATCTAAAACGCGAGGGTCGCGTTTTCCACAATTTGAGCTCGCCTGCTCGAGCTCCACCTGAAACTGTGCCTGCAGTTCACCGTCGACTTCGCCTGAGTCGGCGTCCACGCTCGCCTGCATGGTCCTCAAGCTCATCGGTGCTTCGCCGGAGCTCCTCGCCGGAATTGAGGTTTGATCTACACCCCTTTTTAACAAATTTGGGTTAGATGAGTGTTAGACGGGTCAGTAGACGGGTCAGTAGATCAACCCATCTAATAAATGGGTAAATTCGGGTTGACCCATTTATGACCCAACCCATATAACTTGACCCATACCCAATATAAATGGGTCGGGTCGGGTCGGGTTGATGGGTTGGGTCATAAATTACCACCCCTACATTGGATGAACCAATATTATTAAACTAGGTGAGTAATTGTAGAATTCTCTATAGTCAAAAGACCGTAAAGAATCTCTCCTCCTAATATTTTCTTACACGTTCCATGAGCACCATGTGGTATACACCATTCTAATACCTAGTAGGAGATCTGTCACAAAAACTGTTCCATCAATTTCTTGAAAATAATTTGTGCCATATGGTCCCCTCCTACTAGGATCATGACATAAAAAAGAATCATGATTGATTGATAGAGAGTAGAGATTTGTTTTATATTAAATTAATAGAGGGATTTTGGTTTATACTCTTTATTATTATCTTTTTCGTAAGCATAGAAAGCAAGTAGCACAGAGACTCAATGCTTTTAAAAGGGAAGGGAAGGGAGCCTCCATTGGCACAGGAAAGGGGCAAACGTTCCACAACGCAAGCTGAGCAAAAAGCAAAGCTTTGACTACCAAACTAATTAAACAACCAAACTATCTTACTACAACATACAAGCTTTGGCCCTCAAACTCTCTTCCTCCCAGAACAATATCAACCCACAATATGGATGCATCAACAGCAGCTTGTTGGTTCTCAGATCCAGTAAGATTCTACAACCAAAACCCATCTAGCTTCTTAATTCTGATATCTAAACTAACTATTTTATCACTAACCTTGAATAAATTTTGAGGAACAGGGAATGATGGAAGATCCGAGCTTCCACCAGTGGGAGTTGGGCTCTTTGGACCAATTCGCCAACGCCCAGAACCTTTGGGACAACATCCAGCAGCCTTTCACCTCCTCCTTCAACGCCGCCGTAAGTGGATCCTCCATGGAATCCTACAGCCCCAAAAAGATCCCCCAAAAAACAAGCAGGAGCTCCACTTCCCCCAGCATCCTCTCGTTCGGCAACCCGGACTCACCAATCGACGACCAAGAGCTTGGGTTGGATGTTCAGTGCGCTTCAGCCGGTTCAAAGCGGAGCTACGACGGCCGTGTGAAGAGAGATGTCACCGACAGGCCGCCCTCGCACAACCAGGATCATGTTCTTGCGGAGCGGAAGCGGCGTGAAAAACTCAGCCAGAGATTCATATCCCTGTCCGCCATCATCCCCGGCCTCAAAAAGGTCCCTTAACAAAGCTTTTTATCCCGAGTTTTCTGACCGGGCTTCACTTATTATTTTATATATTCTTCTCCCCCCCTTCTGTTTTGTTTCTGTGCTAAAAATTATTATCTGTTCTATGTTTCCTTGCATTGTAAAAATTTATCATGCTCTAATTATATTTGGTTCATAGATGGACAAGAATTCGGTCCTCGGCGGTGCAATCAAGTACCTGAAGCAGCTCCAGGAGCAGGTGAAGACTCTGGAAGAGCAGTCGGCGAAGAAGATGGTAGAGTCTGCGGTGATCGTAAAGAAATGTCAGCTCTCGGATGATGATGGGTCTTCTCTCGAGGAAATTTTTTGTGAAGGGAAGCCTAACGAAGCTAATAACAGCATTGATGTTGAGGTCGAGGCGAAGCTATCGGGAAAGACCGTTCTGTTGAAGATTCACTGCAAGAAGAGCAAAGGATTACTGGTGAAGATACTGGCGGAGATTGAGAGCCTGAAGCTCTCTGTTCTGAATTCCAGCTGCATTCCTTTTACAGGTTCTGCTCTCGATATCACTGTGATGGCTCAGGTTCGTGATTTCCAGATATTTACCCTTTTCTTGTGACATTGCTAGATTTTGAAGGAGCTTTGGCTTTTTATTTTTTAATTTTTGTGGGGTTTTCAGGTTGAAGAAGGTTTTTCTTTGACAGTGAAGGAGCTTGTAAAGAAGCTAAATGTATCATTCAAGAGGCTCATGTGAAGGATTTGATGGAGCACAAGTTCTTGCTTGTTAGTACGATCGATGATGAGGGGGTTTTGTTCTTGATTTGCTTCTTTTTTACGGGGCTTCATTTTCTTTGACGGTGAGGGAGCTTGTAAAGAAGCTAAAAATGTATCATTTAAGCAGTTCATGTGAAGGATTTGATGGAGCAGAAGTTTTTGCTTGTTAGTACGATGGCTGATGAGGGGGTTTTGTTCTTGATTTGCTTCTTTTTTACAGGGCCTCATTCTGATAATCTCCTTAATTTCTAGGGATCACCATTTCTTCACTCGGGATTTTTTCACTTCCTTGCTCTCTCATTTTCTCTCTCCTCATCAACATTTTTTTTTTGTTTTTTTTTTTTTTTTTTTTTTTCTTCACTCGGGATTTTTTCACTTCCTTGCTCTCTCATTTTCTCTCTCCTCATCAACATTTTTTTTTTTTTTTTTTTTTTTTTTTTTGCATGGTTCATGACTTCATTAGCCATGTTTGTACTTGAAGGAGGAGGTTTGGCAATTATCAGCTTTCTTTTCATTTTTTTCATTTTTTTTCTTTTTGCCTCCCTTTACTTCCATGCTTTCTCCTTTTTCCTCCTCTCATCAACAAATATTTTTCATGGTTGATAATCTCATTAACTCTGTTTTTATTTTTTTAACTCGAAGATGGGGTTCTGCTGTTATCAGTTTTTTGTGGCCTTCTTGTTTTCTATCTTTGCCTCGTTCCATCTGTCCTGAGACTTGAGAGCATGACTTTCTTTGAAATCTCTCTTTTTTGCATCACTTTTTGTAGGGGGGAAATGGTGATCCTTATTGCGTTGAGTGCGAAGAAAAAGAGGTGTTGTGAATAGTTGCTACTTGTGTCCTTTTGTTCCTTTATCTCTACTATATAAATGGTAAAAAGCTTCTTGTCGCATTTCATGTGTACAAATAAGGCTCCTTTGTTTTTGTCGGTTCGATGAAGGAGTAGCTGTATTTTAATTTCTTTTAGACACTGTAGGCGTGTTTTCTGGTGCGGGCTAATTCTTGTTCGGCTTTTTGGCTCCTTGGTATAAAGATTAACTACACGAGTCTAAGAACCAAACATCTAAGGGCGCGCCTTTATTGTTTATAAATGAAAAAGTGACGGACTAAAGCCCCTTTGGTGCCCAAGTTTGTAATATTAGACGACAAAGATTATGCTGTAAAATCTACAGGTTTGGAATGTAGACGAAGATGAGATTGTAACCCTGTTCGCAGAGTACGAGTTTTTTTTTTTTTTTCTTCTTCTTCCCCTTTCAGAACGAAATTTCAACACCTTTTGAAAATTCACTATAAGGAAAAAAGGAAGAATCTTTTGTCCACGAATTCATTGATTTCTAAATAACTTCTTACGTAGGAACAAAGAGGAATTTAAAAAATTGGAATCCTTGATTTTTTTTTTAAAAAAAAGGACAATCAATAATTAGTCTGCTCCGGAGAAAAAAAAAAGGGTAGTTTTGAACTTATATCCGATCTAGCCATTAGCATGTTTTATTATCAACAATAGTTTGCAAATAGTTCATAATATATATAGTTTACTATTTCAAAGATAATAAAAGCTTCCTCTAACCTTTAGAAAAATTATGATAATTTTGCACAAACTCTTCCAAAATTTATAATTGTTTTGTGAAATTTTCTGTTCCTCCTCACTCGTTCTCCTCGATCAGGATACTTATATCTAGCGTTAAAGAGGTGAGAAGGCTCAATTAATGAGAATAAGTGTCGAACATACAAGGGAAACTCAAAATATCTCACCCGTAACTAATCAGTTCGAGTTCTGATAAATACATGAAGAAGTCTATTAAGTAGATGATCAATCTCCCTTCTTTTAAACGAAGAAAATGACCCTTAAATCTCGGTCAAACTGTGCTGGACTTGGTCTGACTAAATTAAATTAAATTAATACAATATACAAAAAGTAATCAGATGAAAGGATATTTAACCGGATTTTACGCCTTAGATGCTAGTTTGTAAATATTATTATTGTCATTCATCATTAATTAGGCCCTAATTTGTTTATTAATTAATAACTAGAATCAGCTGGCTCGGAATTTAATTCGATGAAGAGATACTAACCGGATATTACGTCCTCTTGCTCTTTGTTTAAAAGAATTATAATTGCTTCATTAATTAGACTATGATTAGCCTAATAATCTATTAATTATTTATGTTAACCAAAGTCCGGGAGCCCACGTGCGTACAACCAGTACCAAGTGCACGCAGCTGTCTCGTTCCTCGAGAAAATTTCCATGATTCATAGAGTTGATAATATTTCTTTTAAAGCGAATAAGGACGCGTTTGGAACAAATTTTTTTTTGGGTTTTTTGGGTGAAAGCCTGACACAATGTCAGGCTTTCACCCTAAAACGCCTCTAAAAGAGACGTTTTAGGGTGAAAGCCTGACATTGTGCCAGGTTTTCACCCAAAAAACCCTCATTTTTTTGGTTTCCAAACACGCCCGACATTGTGTCAGGCTTTCACCCAAACAACCCAAAAAAAATTTGTTCCAAACGCGCCCTTATTCGCTTTAAAAGAAATATTATCAGTTTGTTTCGGGAATGGAGTTTTTGTTATATATATTTTAAGTTTTCTGATTAATTAGAGAATCTTAAATTTGTTTGATGGTACGTGCCATCTATTTCTTTTTTCTTTTAAGTTACACTACTTGTTTGTTCTTAGCACGTGTTGCAGATAGAGGTGAAACTAGAAAAATTTTCTTAAAGAGGCGAACAACAAATATTTATTTAATTAAAACTAAAAATATAATATTTTAAAAGTATAGAGTTGTAGCTTTGGGTTTCTAGTATTGTAGTTTTAAGTTTTAGGTATTTGGGCCTATACCAATTTGAGTTGATTGATAAAAAGTTAAATGAGTTTTTATTTTCAAAGACCCAATTCTATTTGCTACTAACTTATTACACACCATATTTGATATAACTTCATGGTAAAATAGGTTGGGTAATTCGGTTGGGATGCAATTTGAAAATTTCTATAGATGGATGAATTATAAATATTACATGAACCTATACATAATTTGTTGTTATGACAAACTCCCCAAGATAAGCTAATATCAATCACACGAGAGCACAAAAAATATCAAGAACACACAAGCACAAAGTTATACGTGGTTCGGCTTGTAGTCTATGTCCTCGGGCGAAGGAAGAGAAAGCTTTACAAAATTGTGAGGAATACAAAGTGGATCTCTCAATCCTAAATAAGACACCAAAAGCCTAATAAAACTCTCAACTAAAGGAACAAAAGAGAAGAATATCAAATAGGCTTCACAAAAGGACTCTCTCTTCTTAATTGGTGCTCTGAAGATTGATGCTAAATATTGGCTTGAACGACTGTTCTTATATAGCATTGAAGGTCCCAACTGAAAGTACCCTACAGGGAGGGGGCTGAATAGGGTTATTGCTAATCTTATTAGATATTAATGCCGATTAAAATTAGTTAACAAATATATCCTAACAAAGATGATATTCAATAAGATATATGCAAGGTTATATATGCAAATGGAAAAATAAACAAGAAACAATATAAACAAATAGCAATCCAAACACAATAGTATGATCACGGAGTTCGGACCTTCTGTCCTACGTCTCCGCTCCCCACTCCCGGGGAGAACTCCACTAACGACACACCTGGTTGGGAAGCCGGAACTTCTCTACACACTCGGTTTTCTAGCTCACCGAAAACTCTACAAATCTCTCACAATGTACATACACAAACTAAAACCTCAAGTGTTGGTCCTCACGTATCGCCTCCCTCAAGTGCTCGGTTTTACTACCTCTCTCTAGACTTTGCTACCGACGCCACTCCTCTTGGTATCGACTACGTCCTCACCACACACTCCTCTTGGTGTAAATGTGTGTATTACAAGGTGAACTCTCACAATAAGGCTCAAATACAAGATTTGTTCTCTAACAATGAATGAGAACACTATGAAGCTCACTCTCACTAAATCACTCACCACAACCCAACAATATATTATATGAATAATATTAAAAGCTCAATTGAGGTGTGAGTGATAAATGAGAACAATAAAATTCTAACTCAAATAAAACTAGCTAAGATATGAATATGAAAATCAAAAGATAAATAAGCTAGATAAAAGAGTTAGAAATCTTCTCTATAAACACAAGGAGCTATAGATAGATGATGAGGATGAATTCCTCGGTTGAAGTCAAAAGCTTCCTCCTTGTGAAAAACTCCTATTTTGAAACAAACTTAAAACAATGCTTAAACACAAACTAAACTCTTTCAAAACTTGATTAAAACAATTTTCTTGATGGTTCAGAAGTGAAATGGTATAGGGTATATATAGGATGAAGAAACAACGCTCAAAACCCAAATGAAATCCAGAAAAATGACAAAAAAACAAAAACTGAAAAAATAGCCGTTACAGGCCATCAATCGACTGACGGGAAGCATCAGTCGACTGATGAGCTGAACATTGTATACGATATCCAGGTCATCAGTCGACTGATAATCATTTCAGTCGACTGACGATCTCGTCAGTCGACTGGTCAGTCGATCGAAACAGAACAGAGAGCAAAATGGTGATTCCAGGCACTTTTATCAGTCGACACATCGGTCGACTGACTTCATTAGTCGACTGGTCAGTCGACTGATAATATGTTATCAGTCTGAATCGATTTTGAAATTGAGTTTCAAGGCTCTATAAAAAATAGTAAATAAATACCAAAAAATATGAAACTTTGTAAACAGTTTATAAACATTTTGACAAACTTAATAGTAAATAAATACCAAAAAATATGAAACTTTGTAAACAGTTTATAAACATTTTGACAAACTTATTTGAAAAGGAATTTTGTAAACAGTTTATAAACATTTTGACAAACTTATTTGAAAAGGAATTTTGTGAAAAGGTCCTCATATTTGTAAAAACTCAATGTTTATCAAAAATATACATAATACATGTTTTTGATGAATCTTGAAAATGAAGTTTGACATGTAACAACATGTGGAAACTTTATGAAATGTTTTTATAAACGTTATAAAACATGAATGTGATGTAAACAAGATTAATAAACCAATATTGCATTGTTTTCTCAAATAAGCTCATTTTATAATAAAAACAAAATTGTGTGTGTATATATATATTGAGCTTAAAATATATTCACACAATATACGCTACAAAAAAACTAATATTCCAATGCTAGATGGATCTTCAATATGC